TGGCTTCAAATGAGATTGATACTGGTAGGAAAGGAGGTTGCCTAAAGGAGAAGTTTGGAACTAAGTTCTTTTCGTACAGAAGGTTGTAATTTAAGTTATTTTTGAGAAGAATGGTTGAAACCGTGTATGTAATATGTTGAGGTACAATTTCTCATCAACATGCTGTGAACCTACAATCAATAGGAAAATGAAGTAAATACAGACATAGATTACAACTTCCCAAACAAAAAGAAAGTACGAAGCAGGATCAGGTGTATTCTCAGGGTTAGAGGCCAAGAATTGAATACTGAGTAAGGTAATCTATTCACATTTATGGACAAAATGTATAAAATGGGTGGCTTGTTAAATAATGCAAATATTGTCATACTTTGATAAATCTGGAAAGTCAGATAACTATTCCATAGCAGAATATATTTGAAATTCTACCCGCTTCAGGCTTGGTGATGATAATGACCGGACATCACTAAAAAGACTTGTAATTCCCTACAAAATAGCTGGGATAAGCAATTCCATCAGCACAGATGTAATGTCAAGTGAAACAATTTTACTGTTGAACAGATCATCAATGTAAAAGGCCAAAATGAAGCTCACATATGAAGGCATGACAAATGTTTTTGGGAAGTCAACTGATTTAGTTTGCTCAATTCAGACACAATTGTATTCCTTTATTAAGACCTAACTTCTTGAGTCAAAATATTAAGAAGGTGTTGGCGTCAGTGAATAGGAAGTTCAAGAGAAAAGGGCTAATTATCTTAGGACTACATCAGCATTTTTCCATCCATCTTCACAAGTTAAAAATCATTCTAAAAAAATGCAGGAATAAGGGTTGATGAGTTTTGTATATTTGTCAAACAAATTAGCAGTAAATGTGAAAAAAATTTACAATAGAAGATACCATCATGTGTGCCATGGGCAAGAGACTTTAATGAAGTGGTGGCAATGGACTTTAAGATGTATAAGGAAAAGGCATGTTCATATTGCGCTTTGTAGATATAGCAATTACATTTCGTCAGTTTACAATAACAAATACTAAAAGAACAGTAATAGTGAACAATACATTGGAAATATGATTAAGGACTAGACTGGAGGCATTGGCTCAATTCCTAACTGGCAATGGATGGGTGGTGCGTGGGAGAGCAGTAGAACGAACAGTCCCTTTAGTAAAAGCAAGAATGTGTAGAAATACTCACATAGTAGTCAATTAAACGCTTCATAAAATCTAACAAGACCTTCCAAGTTGTACAGACAGACCACATGGAGAACTGCAAATGGTTGGGAGCTATAGTCCACCTCGAATGGTTTTTTGGGAGAAATCCAAAAGTTCTTTCAGTGATGAGTGATCATCTTGGCTTGAGAAGGGAACACTATTAACTGCATTTTGCTGAGCATTTGAATGCCCTACATACAGGGAGAAGGTTTCAGAAAAAATTTGAGCGTTTCATGGCATTGCATAGAGCCATCGAAAATAAATTTTAATCCAGGGTCTATTACAAAATAGAAGGGCAGAATGAGATGGAAAGGTATGTTAAGGATATAGGTGATGATGCAAAAACAGCACGGCAACCAAACTGTTAGGTTTGGTTAACCTCAAGGTTAACTGACAGTGATTACACACTTACAGAATCTGAACAAGTCATGGAAAATAATGAGGTATCATGCACTTTGCAGATACATACATTGAATAATTATGCAGATCAGATAATGGCAGAAGATGGGCTAACTAAATAGGGACAAAATGGAGACAGAGATGAAGGGCAAGGCTGTTTGCCCCAATGAACAATGATCAAATGTTGGCCCTAAGATACTATATGTGTCATTGAATATAGAGATGCCATCATTATAGGGATAGCAGGGAAGACCACTGACAAATATAAGCATTGCTTAAATGTGCAAGATGAGGAACAGATGGCAAGATCCACAACTAGCAAAATGAAGTAAAGATGCAGTACACATTCCAGAAGTGGACTGGGAAGTGAACATAGCCCAAGGAAAAGGTTGCAAATTTGCAAAAGGAATCCTGAACATAGGAGGTGAAGATCATGGAGTAGTCAAGAATAAGACTGGAGAGCAAGTACAAAACAGAAATTGCTGGAAAAACTCAGCAGGTCTGGCTGCATCTACGGAGAGAAAGCAGAACTAACATTTTGATTCCAGTGACCTTTTTTCTACTTCCACTTCCTTTCTACACAAAGACATGCAGTTCCTCCAGCGATTTCTGATTTTGTTTCTGATTTCCAGCATTCGCAGTTCTTTGGCTTTTTGTTTAGTATTTAACTTAGTGCCACATCTCTTCCTGGTGTGCCCACCTTGAAGTTCTGCTCCTCTCTCCCGCAAGATTTCCATGCTAATCTGTTTCCTTGTTCACCGTCATTTATTTTATTGTCTCTCCTGACGTTTGACAAGGTATTTGCCAAAACTCTCTTCCACAGACACATCACATTCCTCAGTGATTGCTTCAGGTCAGAATCACCCCACATGGATTCCAACTCAATTTTCATCCTTCGTGCTTTGAATCCAACCAGGATCATAGGCATCTCCATGATGTACTGTGTTCCTCTGACAGCTGTTCTCGCCACATCCTGAAATCCACACTCAGTGCCATGTGTCACCATATGCACAATCTCGAACTCAATCTCCAACAGCATTGCCTCACGCTGGCTCAGAGCTGTCGCGCACCCCCCCCCCCCGCAGCCCCCCCCCCCCAGCCCCCCCAGTTCCACTTCATCCTCTGACTTATTTGATGTTCTAACAAGGAACTTTATTCTTTTCCTTTTCCTTTCAGGCATTAGGGAACACAAGTTGCGACAACCTAAAGATACTCAAGCCCGTTCAGAATCTTCCTGCCCCTCTTTCCCTCTGACTCCATCCCCTCTCCTAACCCCACTTCCCATTGTGTATTTACTATCCCTTCTGACCTTCCGCTATCTGATGCTGAATGTTTTGAACTCAGCAAAGGTCTCAGTTTTCTGCCTCCACATCTCCACCTTAATGAATTTCGGGCATGACAGGATGTCGAACTCTTTTTCTGTTGCCTTCGCTTCCATGCCCATTTCATTGGACATGAGTCCTCTGCCCATCCCACAAACCCTTTCACCTACCTCCAACATTGTCCCTCCAACTGGAACTCTTCCTTCTACCCTTTTATCTGCACTCGACCTGTTCATCAAGAACTGTTGATGTGACATTGGTCACCTCAATTTCTCTGCCCCCCCCAACCTCCTTACCCATTCCAACTTATCTCCCTCTGAACTGACTGCCAGACAACCAGCCTTATCATACAAATGGACAAGCAAAGGAAACATGCTCCCTGATGTGATATAAGCCAAAGTCAGACAAGTGCCTCAGGGTTCCAGAGAGAAGCATGGTATTCCAGATGTTAGAGTGAATTCCCTGACTGCAAAATAGCTCTGAAGGATCTTCTCAGCTCTTTTAGTAACGTACTTGTGGGAATGTAAGTTAATCAATACAAAAGCTGTAATTTTGCAAGCTGAAAAGCTTCAAAAGCAATAATTTTTAAAACAACCTAAAGAAGCAGGTTGTAGGAAAGGGAAAATATGGAAATTGATTTAACGTTTTTAAGTTGAATGATTCAGCAAAGGTAAAATATTTCAGTTCTGAACCCCAAATGTTAACTCTGATTTCTCTCTGCAGATGCTGCCAGGACTGCTGAGAGTTTCCACAATTTTTGTTTTGTGTTTCTGATTTCCAGCATCCGTAGTTCTTCTAGTTTTTTACGGTATTTCATAGTTAGATCATCTCACCGAAAGTATCATTCGGCTTCAAGTAAACCCAGAAATGTTCTATGGGTATTGCCAAGAGAAACTGGCAAGCATCTTTGTGATGCATACTGATGATTTTCTGTGAGGAGGTTTGAGCAATGTATGTGAGATAAAATATTTGGAGTCAGACTTCAGGGATCTTCAAATATGTTGGGCAAAATATTAAGCAGAAAAAGTCAGGAGTGACTTTAGATCAACAGCCTTACTTAGAAAGTATTAATCAAATCCTGATAAATTGGGCCAGATTCTCATAGAACAGATTTCAGGCCTGGAAGTAGATAACCTACCAATGCACTAAAAGCCCTTTTTCATGGATTGTCTGATATCTTCAAAAGTTTTAGATAAGGAGGGGAATCTGTGAACATAGCAAGTAGTGAAGCAAGCAATTAGGGTTAATTTATTAATTAATTTAGTGAATTGATATGAAGTGGAAGCAATAGGGCTTTTCTGGTGCAGAGGTATTGTCTATAGCTCTGGGCTGGGGTTTCCAGTTCCATCTACTCCAGATATGTGTCATAGTATGTATCAATGGGTTAATTAAAAATGTCTATAATGCGCAAGTAGGTGGGAAGTGTGTGCTGTAATATGAATAGTTAATAAAATCTATCTACAATGAGAGATGCCTTAGTGGGACATATAATGTAATGGTAGTTACCCTACCTCTGGGCAAGAAGGTCCAGGTTCAAGTCTCATTTCAGGATGTAATGAAAAAGGTCACAACACATGTAAAATATTTACGGAGAGACGATTTGGACAAATAATGAAATGCAAATGCATGGAAATAAGTTAGGCACCACTCAATAGCAAGATTCTGAAGTCAAAGTTTAAAGTTTAAGGGGAAAATCAATCATTCTTTTCTCGAAATCGAGGTTCTCACTTTTCCATTCTCACTACGCTTTCTGGCCATTGGCTGCACCACTCCAGGGAAGGGGTAATTCTGTCATTGTTTCATTTTTCATACAGCCAATGAGCTTTGAAAACAATTTTTAAAAACTGGGAAAATTAGAAAAAGAGGAAATCAAAAATAACTTCATAACAAGTTATTCAACAACAAAAATTTGGCTGCAAGAAAGTTCACCTGAAATTTGAACTAAATTACTTCTGAAAGCTTTAAATGCAGAGCAAGCTTGGAAGACCACAGATGGGTCAAAAATTAAAGAATAAATTCATGCACCTTTTACATACCAGACTGCACAGCCCAATGTGATATTATTCACATACCTGCACGTTTGAAGGTTCTTGTTTAACTTCAGGGCCAGCCTGTTCACACAGCTGAGGAAAAACATTAGTGGCGCATTACTTCAATCATATTGCACAGCAGCTATAAACTTAACTTCTGTGCAGTAAACCATGTTTTACATATATGTGTATTATATACATTCATAATCATTTATTGTAAGTATGTGCTTTTGTGTTTTGACTTAGTAACCTGGAGGTTTTCTGTGTGTCTGAAGTTAATCATTAACTTGCAAGCATTTCAGTAGCCAAGGTAATTTCTTACAAACAGATTTCGGGCCGGCTTTAGAGTGATTGGGTTTTTGCGCACCACAAATGAATTTTGTATTTGTTCATTTTAGATTGGTTTATACACAGCAAGGTAAATAATGGGGTCTCAAGTTTTATTAATGACTTCTGGAACTTGATTCTTTTAATGCTTAATCGAAACACCCACAGCTTTGAGAGGGAGACTGTCGTCTTCAGTTTTCCTTTGAGTTAGGCAGTCCTAAGATGTCCTTGGCCAGTGATGGCTGTATAGACCTAGTGAACCAAAGAAGAGGAAATATAGTGTACTAAATTACCTTAGAGTGAAGAATATTAATCCCAGGCTGGAAGAGATGGCATAAAACCGTAAAGGCATTATTTAAAACTGACTCTACTTAAACTCAGATTAAGGGGTTTGGTGGAGCAGGGAATTGAGGTGTGGAAAGAGTTATTGGTCTCCTAGTATTTGAAAGGATTGAGAGAGGGATGCTGTTAAGTTGTATTTTAGTAGTCAACAGCATTTTAGGACCTTGAAGAGTGGGCAGATATCATGGGAATTGAAGAAAAATATGTAGAGGTGTTCTGAGACATGAAACCATTTGTGGTTTCAGGTACAAAAGGGTCCCTGGAGTGTTTGAGTACTACATATTAATTATAACCACTTGGACTGAACACACTGGGTCATGGTCAACTCATGACTGATACCATTTTTCCCTTGTGATCATACTATGGGGAGGGGAAATGACAGAAAGTACAAGTCAGTTCTGTGGTGCTCATTACAGCCACTTATTGCAGCCAACTTTGTCCTTGCGTGTACTGCAAAGGGAATAAAGATGGTAGCACTGTAGATCTTGAATGTAATTAACAAGTTTTAACTGTCACATTATTAAGGAAATAATTTAAAACTCTCAATTGAGATATGCTGTGCAGCTCATCAAAATATCCCTTTAGCAGACTTATTCTGCCTTCATACCACAGCATGTAAGTAATGGGAATATGACCAATATTTTTGTTTTTGCTAACTCGTTTGGTCTAAGTATATGTCCATTATAAAAGGTTAATCACTGCACTTCAAAATTAGGTCCTGCTTTCCCTGAGAGGTGACAAGGTGCTGTGTATTTATTACCGTTTTGAGTAAGTTTCTCCTGACATGATCTAGTTCCGGTGTAATATCTTGTTTTATTTGGTGTAATTCGAGTTATTTATGTTCCTGCACCAACTCAATTTCCATATATCAAGCTCTCTCAGCAGCCTTTTTATGCATTCCCACACTAAAGGGTGGCGGGGTGGGGTTCGAAGTCAGTGTTGCAAACCACATTTGCATTCGCTATTGAAAAAAGATCGTGTTTATTTTCGCCCTCAGTTGAACCAGTGTCCCTCAGTGGGAGGCGTCACACAGTGCACATTGATACACGCAAGTGGCCAGCGCTGACGTACAGAAAGGAGAGCAAAGGCTTGGACTTGCCAGGCTTGATCCCCCTGTACAGCTTACCCTGACTGACATGTCACCAACACGGCCAGCGAGCAGCGCGCAAACTGAGGCCCGAACATGGACTGAGGCTAAGATATTTATTTATATAATGTCCTTTTTTAAACAGAAAGCACTTCTCCCCGTGCTTCCAGCGGGACAATAAACAGTCGCAGTGCAGTCTCGGCACCCTTGTGTGTTATGTGTGTGTTTGTTTGTTTTATTAAACAGGAGCCCGCAGCACTTGAGAAGCTGATTGGTAGCAGCGTCCCTCAGGGTGAACGGTGGTGTTTTCCCGCCACCGAACGTTGCTACTCCCCCGGCGTTCCATCGCCAATGGATACAAAGTTGGAAACAATGAGCCGGTACTTTGTTACACACTCACCCCCAGCGTGTCCCCCTGGCCAGAGGTACCGGCCGCCTCCTCCTCCTCCTCACTCATCCTGCCGACACTTTCTCTCTGCTGCCTGCGTTACAAACAACAGCAAACCGGTTTAGGCGTTCGTTTGCACTCAGATTCTCCTCATCACATTGTTATTGTACGGCTATTGAGAGAGCCAAATAAAAACCTCCCTCCCCCAGCCCGTTCTGTCATTTTCTAGCAACATCGCGAGACTTCTCATCATTCCACCAATCGTTCGGCAGTTTCCTGTGCTAGTCTGTGACATAGTTCGAATGGGAATGATTCTTGCCCCTCCTTATTTCACGCATGCACACACCATCAGCTACCAAACACAACCTTCCTCTGTTCCTACAAAGATCAGGGGATAGGTTACTCAATTTACATCGTCAAGTCGGACTAATTGCATCCTAGAGAATGTTCCAGTCTCCTAGCTAGTGCATTACTGCAACTCTCTTGGGCAGGAGTTGATAATTGGCGCATAGATTAGGAGACTGCGCTTTTTTTTACATCTTTGGCCGTACTCTGATGTGGTAATGAAACAAACCTGGGAGAATGCCTCGGTGCAAGGAACGACATTGTTCTCATGATTTTCTGGTATAAGACCAGTTATCACAGGCTGTATAGCTTTCCATACGCACTGTACACCGGCAATCTCCAAACTACGATATAAAGAAGACAATTTTTTTTTGTTTTGAACGGAATATCTGTGCTTTTATTGGTAGTGCCCTTCTGCAGCAAGTGAACAACATGGTCCACAGTAGTACACTAAGTTTTGACAATAAATGCCAAAGCCCACATATTTTGATAATGCTTCCCCAATTGCAAAAGCGATTGACACAACATTGTTACTACCCATTAAGCTGATAACTAATTGGCCTTTTTTGAAGAGGGGTGTGGGTAAATTAAAATTCCGATATTATTTGTTTGAAGAATCAGGTACTCAAACACCAAGATTTGGCTAACTTTTATGTTCATGAAACTAATATACTAAACCATTCGTGCACAATCTGATGACAGGAAGAAACTCAAAGACACAATCTCTTAAACAAATAGAAACCATATATTCATCATAATAACAACAGGTACAATGCAAAAATATTGGAGATTTTTCCTTATCTGTGCATCAACTATAGACCCCCAAAAGAGGTTGCATGTGCGGTTGGAGAGATTTATGGCCCACGTTTTACATGCAGTATAATTAATATTTGAAGCTTAAAGCTAAAAGATTGTAATTTAAGAACCAATCCATAAGGGTACCAACCTGCTTTGGGGTTTCAACTCACTTGACAGAAGCTCTGAATTCAACAACTTAACTTATCCTGCCTGGATATATTGAAAAAATGAATTTACATTGGCACCAAATATTGCAGGTCTGATGATATGAATGTTTATGATATCATCAAAATCCACAAGTTATCCACTGCTTTGTAACTGCTTGCTAGGCTTATGGCAGGCTGAGTCCTGCAGTGATAAATGAGTTAGCTTTTCACCCACTTAGTACTAATGCAATCAGTGTCATTAACTATTATATGAGTTCTACAACACTACTCGGTATATTATTTTACTCCACAAGTATTTTTGAACATATACTTTGATTATTTTTCATATTAGTAGTTAACAGGGGATTTTTAGCTCCCTCAAAGGCTCTTTTCTAGTCCTTGCTATTATACATTGTTTTTATGATTTAAGGTAAACGGAACAGTGCTAGAAAATTACTTGATTTTAAAAAATGTATTTACTAAGAAATACTGTCGCTGTGTTTTGAGAAATGTCAGATTTTAAATTGAAAAACCAGTGACCAAGATATACAGACATAAATTATGATCAGTAGGCTATTCAGCCACTCAGGCCTGCCTACTATTTAATATAATTATGGCTTATCTGATTGTGGACTCAGTTCTCCTTTACCACCTACCCCTCGAGGCCTAGATTTTCTCCACCAATTTTTCAGAATTTATTTTTAATGGGCATGGGACATATGTCAGTGGGACATTCTACCAGCTATCTTCACATTGTTTTTACAGCCATTTCATTTCCTACCATTTAAGCGTGATGTATAATAAGACATTCATTGTAAGTCTATGTAAATTGAATAAATATATCTGAAATATTTTCAATGATAACGTGCTTTTATATACCATTTGTAGCATAGACAAAAGTTCCAAAGCACTTCACAGATGTGAAAAAAAAGGGGCTGATGTTCCAAAGAAAGATTGTGGCGCAGTGATTAGCATTGCTGTCTCACAGCACCAGGGACCTGGGTTTGATTCTTGGGCGATTGTCTGTGTGGAGTTTGCACATTCTCCCTGTGTCTGTGTTGGTTTCCTCTGGGTGCTCTGGTTTCTTCCCATAGTCCAAAGGTGTGCAGGTTGCGTGGATTGGCTATGCTAAATTGCCCACAGGGTCTAGGGTGAGAAATGCAGGGATAGGGTAGGTGGTGGACCTGGGTGGGATGCTCTTCAGAGGGTCAGTGTGGACTTGATGGGCCAAATGGCCTACTTCCACACTGTAAGATTTTATCATTGAAATAAGTGGGCTTAAATTAATGTCTTAAAGAGAATGGATGAGGGTATGTAACATAAATGTGTGTAAAAGAAAAGTTTGTGTGATTGTAAGGGTGGAAAAGTTTATTGGGATAATAAGATTTCAGTTAAATGAATTTCAAACATTCGGGTATCTAGAGCCAAGGGATGAGTATGGTGAGGTTACTGAAAAAGCAGGACTTAATCTGTGATATGTACAGGTAGCAGAGTTTTGGCTGAACTGAAGTTTATGGAGGATGGAAGCTGGCCAGGAGAATGTCAAGGTAATTGATCTCAGGAGGATGAATGACTGGTTTTGGCAGGATATGGGCTGAGATAGGGATAGACGTACGCAATATGAAATTTAGTGGTCTTTCTGATGGGGAAGATATGAGGTTGGAACAATTTAATTTGGTCCTAGTTAAGTTGCTATGTTAGGATAGAATTGCCGTACAAAGTTTATGGCCAGAGCCAAAGGCATGCATATTGATCTTTCCAATGTTCAGTTTCTCCATCAAGTAGTATGACATCATTGAGGCAGTGGTGAGGCTGTGTGAAATGTTTGATATTTGTGTAGCAGTGGTACCCATGGCTATGGGTGATGTCACTAAGGGGCAGCTTGTACTGCAACGATTAAAGATGTGTCCTTGGTGTTGCCTAGAGGTGACACTTTATTGGTAATTACAGAAATCATTTCCAGGAATTCTCTGGTGACAAGTAAATAGATAAGAATGTAATCAAGAAAGTGCAGTCCCAGAGAACTGGACACCAGTGAAGAGGTGTTGGAGAATGAGTGTTCATCAAATGCATTGAAGGCTGCACAGGAATCAGTGAGGATAAGAACAGGCAACAAATCATGGGCACAGAGAAGGAGGATGTAGGATTTCACTTTGGTTTTGGCTCTGTAGAAAGAGGAAACTTGCTTGGAGCAGTTCAAACAGTAAATTACGGAGACAAATACAGATCTGGGAGGCAACAATAAAAGACAGAAAATTAAAACTTAAGACAGAGTTTACTCAGAGGACAGTAATGCATAAGATTGAGAAGGTAAGGAGAAAACATGGGGAATTAACTGATTCAGGATTAGGATGCAGATGAGGCAAGAAGTTAGATTATTCAGCATGAGAGAAAAACAGGAACGTCAGTTGAATTAAAGGAGTCAAAGAAATCCATGAGTCCCTCATTTATTGTTGGATGTGAAGGTGAAGATGACAGAGGTTTAAGGAGATGGTTGGTGGTAAAGAGAGGCTGTGGTTATCTTTGGTCTGTAGGATAGTCTTTCATCATTTAAAGAGTGTGTCAAAAACAAAAATTGCTGGAAAAGCTCAGTAGGTCTGGCAGCATCTATGAAGAGAAATTAGAGTTAACATTTTGGTTCCAGTGATCCTTCCTCAGAGCACAGTATCATTGGACTGCCCAATCATTCTGCCATTCAGCATTGCTTTGTACAGTGGGCCAGGTAGCAACTCTCTAGCTTTATCCCAGTAGCTGCAGGAATTGAGGATTCTTTTGGAAATTTCTTGGGTGAATCAGAAGATAAATGATTGTAGTATTAAACATGTTTATTCAACATGGGCTTTTTAAGCCCATTTGTCAGTTATAGAAGTTTTGGTGATGCTCAGAAAAGGCTATATAATTGACTGATGGATTGGGGCAGGAGAAAATCCAGAAACGTGACCAAAGTTGGCAGCTGGAAAAGGGAGGAATTAAGGTGTAACTGTTTTGTGCGTATATGTGTAAAGAAGCTGATTGTATTATGTAAGTTCACACAGAGACCAGACGTCAGGATATGTTGGTTGGTTCACTGAGCTGACTGGTTTTCATGCAAACGCTTTGTCTCCCTTCTAAGTGACATCTTCAGTGCTGTCTAGCCTTCATTGAAGCGCTGTTGTTCTGTTCTGCTCTGAATTTATATGGTCCGGTCTGTCTTGGTGGGTAGTCGTTTCCAGTTTTGTACCTTAGTGGTATGTAATTGGGATCAATTTCAACATGTTTGTTTATCGCACCAGTGGTTGAAAACCAGGCCTCCAGGAATTCTTGTGCTTGTCTTTATCTTGCTTGTCCTAGTACTGTAACTTTGTCCCAGTCAAATTGAAGTCCTTTTATGTCAGGGTGTATTCAAACGAGGGGGGAGTTGGTTGCGTTGTTTTGCTGTGAATTGGTGTTCATGTATCTCACAGTTGCTGTATGGTATTTTACGTATCACATTTGTCCTGCTCTTTGTGGTTATGGGGTCTTTTGTCTTTGAGAGTAACTGGCAAATACCCGAACTACAGATCTCCGCTAAAACATTAAAGGTTAGGATATGTTACACAGGGAATAAAAAATCTCTGAAACAACTGCGGACGCTGAAAATCAGAAACAAAAACAGAAATTGATGGGAAAGCTCAGCAGATCTGGCAGAATCTGTGGACAGAAATTGGAGTTAACGTTTTGGGTCCAGTGACCCTTCCTCAGAACACAGAATCATGTTTATGTTACAAAGGGCTCTTGGATACGAAGGGGTGGGCTCTGTGACATAATAGCAACACTTCTGATTCTACCTGGGTCTGTGGGGTGGGGGAGGGCTGTAGGTTTGCCCGCACTTACTTGGGGATAAAATCGAGGGTATTTTCCCCCTAAAAATAAATTCTTTCCACTTCCTGGTGTATCCAGCGACATGTAGGGTTTCGTAATTAGTCGTTTAAATCCC